GCTGTGGGGAGCTTCAGCAGCCTAATTTAGCTTGGGCTCCAAGTGCACATTTGTTCTAAAACAAACACAGCCAATATAACAAACTAGATAGATGCAATAAGGAATAACCTTATTAGGATAGGATAACCTTTCCATTTTTTAAGGAGAACTTCCTGCTCATAACATAAAATACCAGGGGGAAATCTTTCCTTCATTTCCTCATACAAATATCCTTTTCTGCGTATAGTATATACGCAGAATATGCGTATATACTCAACACACAAATTGCTTTCCTATTCTACCCAGTACTGCAGGGAAAAGGCCAAAGTAGAGGAGATGGGGTGGGGGTATACAATGATATTTTAAATTACTTTCTTCTTCACACGCCAGGGGAAGAAGAGTAGGGAGAGTGCATCATCTTGAAAGAAAGGCAGAAAATCAGGAAATGAGATGACGTTGGTAGAAAGAATGAAGACTGTATGAACTGTACAACTCCACTGCCTTTAAAGTATATGAAAATGTGGAACAGTATACAAAATCTTTCACAAAATAGAAAAGAAAATGTACAGTGTGTGTGTGTATGCACACAAATATCTCTCTATATAAGAAGACTATCACAGCAACCTTCGTGTCTCTAACTAAGAGGTGCTCCATTCACCTCATTCTAAACTACCTCTCCAGTTTAGTGGAAATTCTTGTTAGGGAAGTATCCATCTTTTCCAGAAGAATGAAATAAGGCTAAAATAAAGCTGCCACTCCAGGAGTAACACTATATCTTGAAGGAATAATTGCTTTCCATTTTACACTCACCTCTTTACAGGCTTAGTTGGGTTAGAGGAGGAGGACAAACTTTTTCGTACCTGTGATTCCCCAGAGCCTTCATCATCAAAGAAGTAACGCACAATGGTTCCATCTGCATGTCCAGAGAGGATACCCTTCCCCGAGACACTGCAGAGGGGATATATAAGGAGTGATCAATATGGTATTGCAGGGAATCATTTCTTTAAGCCACTCCACTTTTTGTGGAGAAAAGATTCTCCACAATCATTTGTAATTCTGTTTACAATGATGTAACAACAGTGCTTGTAA